TATTGTGTAAAGACAGTAGTGGTGACAGTCTCCACCTGTGCATTGCTGCATTGTCAGCTGGGGAGGGGCTAAGGGCACCCTTAGCAAAGGCGAACTCAGGTGTGTCAGGGCCATCGGGTGAGCAAGGACGGTCTGGTGAGCGAGGACAGAACTACACACTGATATTCAGTCCTCATTTTTGTTTGTCTGGTTATTCTTTCACAGCATAGCGTTGTTGTGCATATTCCTTTAATGACAGACTGATCAGGGTTTCCTAACGAAAGAAAATGACTGATCATCACCTCCCATAAAAATCCATCTAAAGTGGTAAAGCTTTCTCCAAAAGGCTACAATAAAATTTAGAGGACAAGAAGACATAGTCCAGAATTGGATGTGAATTGACATAGACTTCACTGAATTTTATCAACTTCCTGAATACATTTTGATGTAAAGTATCAAAAAGATACTCAGAAAACTATTTTAACTCATATTGACAAATATGAGTCCTAAGGAGAATTTATTGTTCAGATTTTCCTCTCTCCCAAAAATGAAAAAAATATATTTATAAATAATGTCAGTTAGACCCAACTTTATTAATAACAGACCTCATACAAAAATGCTTATGTATTTAATTGATGTTTTAACTTTAGTAAGATTAATGCAGATTTGTAGAACTTCCCAATAAGGATGCTTATACTATGTTTCTTCCAATGAATTATTTATTGTAAACTGTTAAACAATGGTTTCTTCCTTGTACATATATCAAAACATACACAAATTGACCAGTGACTTTTACCATGGGCTTGAATCAGGTTGTCGTGATATAGAAAACTGACACCATGACCCTTATTTCTGTCAGCTTCACCTCTTTGGTAAACAGATAGTATTTGGTTTGGGTGAGTGAACTGGGATATTTCTGAACTGACATTAATGATCCATCTGTGCAAGTTGGTTTTGAGCAAATTATAGGATTATAGGATAATTCATGTGGGAAGAGACCTCAGGAAGTCTCTAGTTTAACCTCCTACTCCAGTCAGGGTCAGCTATGGGGTCAGACCAGGTTGCTCAGGGCTTTGTCCACTCAGGTCTTGAAACCTTCCCAGAACAGACATTGAAATGATCTCTCTGTGCAACCACTGCTACTGCTTGATGGTCCTTCCTGAACACTTTGAGCACAGATGCTTAGGGAGACCTTGTCAGTGAACACTGAGGCAGAGAAAGCACTGAGTACCTCAGCCTAACCCATGTCCACTGTCACTAAATCATCCTCCCATTCAGCAATGGTCCCACATTTCCCTTGTTTAGCCTTGTACTACTAATGTATCTGAAGGTTCTCTTCCTTGTTGCCCTTGATGTTCCTTGCAAATCTCAATTCCAGCTGAGCTTTGTTTTTCCCCACACCATACCTGCATTCCTGAGCTATGTTTCTTCTCCCTCCATAGGCTGCCTTTTTGCACTGAAGCTCCATCACTAGTTCCCAGGTCAGCCAAGCCAGTTTCCTGATGTGTCTACTTGTTTTCTTGAGTATTGGGGTGGAGGATGATGTCCTTAGAGACCTGACAGTTTCCTGAGCTCTTTACCCTTCAGAGATGCCTCCCATGGGATCCCATCTGCTAGTTCCCTGGATAAGCCAAAGTCTAGTTTCCTGATGTCCAGAATTTGTACACTGATACTGTCTTTCCTCACTCCCCACAGGATTTTGAACTCATGATTTCATGTTCACTGCTAACAAGGCTGTCAATGATTATCCAGACACATCTGTGTAATGCCCAACCAGTTCTTCCTGTCACTGTCTCCAGCTGTGCGTCATCCCTGGTTGTCCCATCTAGTACCTGTATTGAGAAGTTGCCCCTGAGAACCATCAGAAATCTCTGACTGGTTGTGTCCCATTGTTGCCCATCCAGCGGATGTTGGGGAGTTCAAGGTGCCCTATGAGAACGGGAGTCTGAGACTTGAAACATCCTTGAGTTGTTTAAAGAAATCGCTTTCCACTTCTTCACCCTGATCAGGGGGTCTGTAACAACACCTACATGTTCACCATGAAGTCTCGCTTACCAGCCTCTCTTCTGTTCCTGGCCCACAAGAATCCCCTAGAAGAGCTCCATACTTCCAAGATGTTCCTTCACACAGAGGGCAATCCCTCCTCCTTGTCTTCCCTGCCTGTGTTTCCTGAAGAGCTTGCATCCATCCCATTGTTCTCTCTAGTTGTGCAAACTGTTCCACAGTGTCTCAGTTATTCTGGCAATGTTGTGGGTTTGTGACTCTGCGGAGCTCTGGTTCTTCCTGCTTCTTCCCCAGGCTGCAGGTCTTTGTATACTCATAAAGTTGATGTCTCTTTAGCCTTATTGTTGATTCTGAAGTGTCTCTTATTCCCACAACACTGCCATTTGCTTTCCACCCCTGTTCACTACTACCTCCCTTAACCATGGGTTGTTATTTCCATCCCTGATAATTTCTAGTTTAAAGCTCACCTCACCAGGTTGGCCAGCCGGTTGGCAAACACTCTTGCTCTACCTTGTCAGGTGGATCCCATCTCTCCCTAACAGTCCTCAATCCTCAAAAAGGATACTGTGTTTTTAAAAGCCAAATCCCTGTTGATGACATCAGTTGCACAACTAGTTATTGATTTGCAGAACCATCTGCTTCTTCACATGCATTTTCCCTTCACCAGCAAGGCCAAGGAAACACCACCTGGGCCCCCATGCCCTTTACCCTACTGCCAGGAGCCATATCATCACTCCTGACTACCTGTTAACAACATAAGCAATCTCTCTCATTGCTGAAATCAGATGCTTATATTTGAAATATAACTTGAGTCTAAGATTCTCTTAAATACAGAATTTTTATAAATTCAAGACTTTAAATAATTTTCCATTTTCTATCCAAATTTCACGAAACAAGAAGCTTGAAAACATGAAACAAGAAGCTTGAAAAATCAATTAGACACAATCATAGAAATCCTTTGAACTTAGGTCACTACATTCATCTTACATCACTAGTATTTCCTGATATTTTTTTTTTTCACGTGAATCTTATAGATAGGGATAGTATTACAGCTATCCCTGTAGACTACAGGCTGGAAAAGTCTATATATCACTATATAGCTAGATATTTTCCCAGTTATTTGTTTTTAGAATGCTATCTCTTGATTTTGGTCTCACAAAGTACAGAAAACTGACAGTCCTTTCCCTAAGAAATGACCTTTCTGTTGCTGAAGTATCTGTTCCTTCAAAAATTTAGGAAGAATTGTCTGCCATGGTTTAGACTGCTGAAAAGGGAAATTAAATGCTTCCATTGTAGCTCACATCTTTTACTGGATCTTGAACTTCAGGTTGCATGCAATTCAAAATAATTGTCAAAGAAATCCTGAACTTCTCCTGACTTAATACGTGATGTTTTCTGTCTTAAAATAGTTTCCAGTGGGAATAATTTGTTACAAATTAATCCTACGATTTCACAACACCTCTGCATTGCCATTTAGTAGTGTCTTGGCTTCCCATTAGCTGCAGTAGTGAGTGGGATTTTTTACAACAGTATTTGTTCTTGGTATTTTAACTCTTTTCTCTAATTACCTCTGCAATTAAAATGGTCACATTGTCAAGTCTAGCAAAAATTTCACAAACATTCATTGTCTGCACAAATGGAATGAAATCTCTGCTATAAAATCCCAGTTGATACAGACTTGAATGAAACATTGTACTTCTTATTATGCATTATTATTACAATTTTCTATTATGTTCTCTTTTGAAATATGCAGACCAGATTTTTTTTTTTCAGTCTTTATACAGAATATTTGATAGGAATTCCAAGTTATGAAATGAGCATTTATATCTGTAGGTTGTAAGTTTATAAAACCATATGGCAAAAAGTTAGCAAACCAACAAGGGTGTCTTAGCAGAGTACAAAATACACATTCTTCTGTAAAATATAAATTTCATATTAGTATATGGGGGAGATGAGAGATCTAAGGTATGAGGAATAAAAAAGAGCTTTTTACATCTACAAAACTTTATGCAAAAATACATACTGACTCAGCCAGCAGTAACAGGCGAATAAAATCCCTAACTTTTCCCTGCTAAATCTCTGCCTACGTAAGGCTACAAACAGACTTCACAATTAATTAATAATTGTATTCGTAATTAGGAAACAGTCTGAATTGCATAAAAGTATAGAACGGTGCTCTCTAACCAGAAAGAGGAGTGGGTAGCAGTGATGCAGCAACGGGGGAACAAAATTCAGTGCCAAACACATTTTCTTACACATAGATCATCTGTTGATCTAAAATAAAACAAAATTGGTGCTCCATGATCTCCAGATCAGTAACCAAGTGGGCATATCTCAAACCTGTCTCGATGGAGGAGACGAGAAATTCTTGTGTAGAGAAAGAAAGGATCAGTGAGAGAAACAACCTGCCTGACTTGAGAGAAGCTTATGCAAGCAAGCAGGAAAAGTTTACTTTCCCTTCAGGGCAGAAAGGACCATGCTTGCTCCAGGAGCAACTTTTACCTCATCCCCTACTAGCAGGATCCCAGTAACAATTTTACATTTTAATGATGTGAATAAGATTTAACTGTCCAGACCCATTGTATCCACAATGTTCAGCAACAATAATGTCCTCTTCTTTTAGGTGAGGGACTGCTGAGGTAGTTGGTGATAAACTATAGATTCTGTAATAGATCCATTGCACTCAGGTATCAAGTCAGGGGCTCAGTCACCTACCCCTCACCATCCTTCCATCCCCAGCCTCCCGGGAGCTGCCCTGGAGTCTGTACCCTCCAATTCCTGCAGAACGTTGGGCTGCTCACTCAGACACAGCTTGTGCTTTCCATGTCTCAGCTCTCCCAGCTTTATGGCATGGTGATATAATTAATGTGGATGTCTTTGTAGTGAAATAGGAAGGTAAAAAAGATTCTTAGGACTGCTTATATATTTCTTCCATTAATCTCCCTGTATCTGTATGTTGACACTCTGGACTTCAATCCTTCTTAAGATCTGATTATCCTTCTTTTTTCTTATTTTAGGTCTCAGTCATCAAACTCACAATTCTGGTAAGAGTAGTAGCTTTAAAGAATTCGTCTTAGTTTAAAAAGCAGTTTTACAGCAGGATTGCTTTATTTTAATAGTCATCTTTCTAACAGCCACCAACCTTGGAAAAAGTTGCCTTTGCCCTGTGTGCCTTAAAATGAGTAATTTTTCATGAGTAGAATTGCCTGTGAATTCTTAATGTGCAAGTTTTATGAAAAGCCAACTTAAAATGCTGAGCAGCAGAGAATACTAAGGAAGACTGGATTATGCTGCATAAGGAAAAACAGTCAGAAGACTTACAATTTATTTGGGCATTGAAAGTCTCAAGCTGTGACAAAGTTAGACATTATATGGCCTGTTTGTTCATCCTCAGTACCATGCTTTTCTAAATATCACATCTGCAGTTACAGATTCACTCTGCAGTTACTAGAGGCAGCACAGGATTATTATAAACAGGCAAAGCAGAAAATGTTTCGGATCTGGCAGTTCCTTTTAAATGAGAAAGCACCAGTCTCAGGCTGAAGCTATAATTTGGCACTCTTTGTTAGTGTACACTAAATCCGACCTCCCAGAAGGAAGAAAGCAACCTAAAATCTCCTCACCCACCAGTTTTCAAGGAGGCACCTGTAGCAGGAACATGTCTTTTAAGCCCTTTCACTGTCTCCTCGTTGGTCATATTAGAGAGAAGTGAGCTGAGCCCCTGCAACTGGAATCCTTAAGACGAGCTCTGTCTTAACGGAAATAGTGTGACTGTAGATGATGAAGTGAATGATGAAGTAGTGAACATACAATATGTATGTTATATATTTAAAAGCTCTCCACAATTACTTGCTTGTAAGCCCACCCTCTTTCTAATAAACTAACAATTTCATAGAGATGCTAGCTCAGAAGTGTGTTTACTAATGTATGTGTATTTACTAATGTTTAACTGTTTCTGCATACATGCAGAACTATCAGCTTACATGGCATTACTTTTCTTACGCAGTCAATCCCCATAGTTTGAAATCCCACAGCAAAACAAGAATAAGGACAATTTGGAGATATGTTGAGTTATGGGGAAAAAAAAAAAAAAAAAAAAAAAAAAAAAACAGGTAAATTGGTAATTTCTGAAACACTTTGCAAACTTTTTTTTTTTTTTTTGATTGTGTTTACTTTTAAATGAACTTGACGGAAAAAGCAAAAAAATGAAAAAACCCTCTGGTTAGAGGAATGAGGTGCACCATGGGAAGTTCAGTTGGATCAGTTATTTTTGGGGAGATAGGAAAAAGGAAAGTCTGAAAGTTCAGCTGAATTCCTCCTTAATTGAAAAGTACAACTCTTACGATAAATGATGAACTATTTATATTGACATGTATATATATAGTAAGTATATAACAAGTCTTTGTATTATACTCACAGATATGTCTTAAAAAACCACTCACCTTCTCATGCAAGTTTCAGGGATGCCCCACACTGAAGGACCTTCATCACTCAAAATAGTCCTTTCCCTTTAGTACAATACATGAATAAAATTCAGTTTTCTTTTTTTATTATTTGCCAAATTGAGCACAATCCCCATCCTATCAAAACACTGATTTTATCGATTACATAAGTAGTTAGAAATGTTGAAAAGGGCATTACTTGAATTGAAGAAAAACTCTTAAAGAGTTAACTGTGCTTAAAAGTGAATTCAGAAATAGGCATAAGTAAGCTTTTCTATTATTTGATGCAAAATTGGGTGCTGTTGGAAGAGTTATCTCAAGAGAGAAATAAGACATGAAACATTCAATAAGCTTTTAACATCCTTTGTATTTTATAAGATTTACTTTGAGACTGAGCCATAAAGTCTCAGTCTTTTGGGACTTCCCCTCTCATGTGTTTACTTTAGCAACCGTCATATTTGGAAGCAGAATATTTTTTCTCCCCTGTTGTTCTTTAGTGACAGCTGTAAATATTTACTTGGAGAGGCATATAAGTATGGGTATCTGTCTGGAATTGCAGAATAAAAGGAAAGCAGAAACTGGGGACCCCTCATTGAGAGCAAGTGAGGAAAGGGGCCAATGAATCACTCTTTCCTGGCACTCTAGCCCTCTGTCCAGCCCTGGGGGTAGACAGTATGTATCTCTGTTTCACAATGTCTGGCTCCTTCCAAAGTACCGTCAAAAAATTGAAAAAGGTTTCTTTTTGCCTTCTGTCGTCAGCTGCACACAGCCCTCACCAGCTATGGCTGCTAATGTGTCTCGGAACTTGCCAAACAGATGTCAGAAGAGAGCATTTCCCTATTTTATTTGTAAAAGGAACCTACTTCCAAAGAAAATACAAGGTAGCTGCACCAGAACATCAAAGCAGCGCCTCAGAGTCATCTGAGTATTTGAGCTGAAACTTGCTGTGATGTATTTGGAGCCCAGCTCTGCCCTGTCATTTGTTTCTGTTATTTGCCATTATCTCAGATCTGGGTTGCTGAACTGTCAAGGAAACAAGACAGATTGACCAGACAATTGGGCTCTACACACCACTGTGGCACTGAAAAGCCTGCAAATGTCAGAGTCCTCAGGCTTCATGGCATCCTGGCACTGCCTTATAGCCCTCAACACAATACTGCATCTCTGGATAATTTTGATTTTTTGTTGATCCATATTTCTATCCTGTTAAATGAAAACTGTCTCCTTCCTATTCACGTGGGATACAACAGTGTTGACATAATTACTCTGTATACACTGCACTGGAATGCGCAGATGAGATTTTGGGATTTAAGTACCTTAGAATATTTGTTCAACAGTGCAAACATTAACAGCCTGTATGAAGTTCTGCCTTGGGATCAATCGCAGAATGTCATAGCTGATGCAGAAACACAGGGCTGTAATGGCATGTTGTAAAAAAGACAAAATCCTACCCATCAGCTGGTTTTCATATTTAGAAAATACTGATCCTAAATCCTTTTAATTACAATTAAAGGACCTTTTTTTTTTTTTTTTTTCCTGTGAAAATACACTCCAGATTGAATTTATGACTCGGTAAAATCCAAATTAAATCCCTAAACCCAGAATTGTTAAGTTTTGGATCAATAAATGTTTGAAGTCTTTAAGGTATGTGCAGTTCTTGCCTCCAAAAATCTGAGAAATGTTATATAACTTAGAGAGTTAGAGGTGTGTTTAGGATTAGCTGGTGAAAACTTTTTTGTAAAATAAAGATACGAATGTAGGCTGATACAGAATAAATCCACTGTACATGCATTGAAACCAACCTGAAAAAGATCCAGTGTTGTTTATTTATTTCCACTGCTGCAGACTGTTCAGTATGCACTGCTGTACCCTTCAGTGTGATAACCAAACCCCTCCCAACAGCACTGCAAGCAATCTGGCTAACATATGCCAAGTAAGACTGGAGTTTCTCAGCCAGGAACCTCATTGTGAAAGACAGGCATCATACATGGACATAAATGAAGCAGCATACTTCTGCTAAAAATCTTGCAATAAGGAATAATTGAAAAATTCAGTTAAATTCCCTGTAGTAACCACAGTGTTACACTTTGCTGCAATATCTGAGCAGTTTTTCTGAAATTGGTCGCTCCTTCCTAGCTCTGTGCTTTCCCTTCTCTGACGCTAGCACAGATTGGCCATGGTGATCTGCTTTACAGAAGGGTTTTCGGTTAAAACTAGCTTCTTTTTCCTTTTTGACAGTTCCAACCCTGGTAGTTTCTTATCTGGCTCAAAATCACAAGCTGTAGGGGAGAGGGGAAAGGAAGTGGTGGTACAGAGGCAAATTGCAGACAGTTCAAGAAAGGCTAGAGCACCTCTTCGTGCAGCAGCATTTGCTTATGGAAATATAAGGACAGGTACTTGTGTTGGATCTTTGTGGGCAAGGGAGAGAGATGGGCACATCCAGAAAGTGGTTTTTAGATTCCTTAACAAAAGGTATCTACTAACGATGGCCGTTTTTGAAGGTGCCTAACCATCTCCACTGACTAAAGAAAATTCACAGGGAACTGATTTAGAATATACCGTTAATTTATCGACTTCTGAAGTAGGTGATATAAACTTCCTACAGGGAGGTGTTAATGTTCACAGGGGTACTTTGATTCCTCTGTACTGTATGGTCACAAAATTCATCTGTGAACATTTGGGTAGGGGTTAAGGACATGTTTCTTTTCCTGCCATTTGTGTCACAGTAGTCAATCTATAATCCTCCTTATTGATTTCTAAAACAATGAATCAGATTTGAGAATTTATTCCTACATATATTTAATTTGGTTTACGTGTGGTTTTCTGTGTTGTTTCTGCATTTTGTTCTCTGAAATCTTGTTAATTTATTTTGTGAATTGCCATTGCAAGGACAAAAAAGAGGAAAAGTAACTTAAAACCAGACCTTTGTGCTGCTTTTAAGCTGCTGTAGTCTGTTTACAGAGTTTCCTGTGTGCTGGGTTTGTCTTTTTGGTAGCGGGGAAAGGGGGCTACAGTGGTGTTAAGGTGGCTGCACCTCTGTGATAACATGTTTAAGAAGGGGAACCTGGAGGAGGAGTTGTGAAAGAAATCCCTCTGCAAACACTGAGATCAGTTGAAGAAAGGAAGAGGAGGCAGAGTGGAATGTGTGCTGGAGCAGAGACTCCCCTGCAGCACATGGTGAGCTGACAGCCACCCCCCTGCCACCCACAGTGGAGCAGATGCCGACCTGCAGCCTGTGGAGCATCCCATGCTGGAGTGGTGGCTGTGTCCGAAGGCCGGGATTCTGAGGGAAGCCCGCGCTGGAGCAGTCTGTTGCTGGAAGGACTCCAGTGCATGGGAACGACCCACACTGGAGCAGTTCATGAAGAGCTGCAGCCCATGAGAAGGACCCACGCTGGAGAAGTTCATGGAGGACTGTCTGCTGTGGGAGGGACCCCACGCTGGAGTAGGGGAGGAGTGTGAGGAGTCCTCCCCCAGAGGAGGAAGGAGTAGCAGAGACAACTGGTGATGAACTGACCATAGCCCCCATCCCCTGCCTCCTGCACTGCTGGTAGGGGAGGAGGTAGAGAAAGAAGGGAGGAGTGGGGGAAAGGTGTTTTTAAGATGTGGTTGTATTGCTCACTGTCCTACTCTGATCGGTAAGTTAGTGGTGGTGGTGTTCAGATTAAATTGATGTTCTTTTTCTTCACCAATGCAGTCTGTCTTTTGCCTATGACCATAAAGATGGATCATCCCTCCCTATCCTTATATTGATTCCTGGGCCTTTTGTTGGATTTTCTTCTCCCCATTCATGAAGGGCAAGGAATGTGCAAGTTGATGCATGGTGCTCAGTTTTCCTCTGGTCTTAAACCATAACACCTGCCTACAAAACTTGATAAACTGCCTCATTCCTTGAGTAATATGCAGTTCCATTACACAAATGGTACATTACAGAAATGATACCCAGACAGCTCAAGCATGACTTGCTCTTTCTCATGTCCATATTCTGAAGGGTGAATCACCAGAGCAGGCTTGTGGTCTAAACGGCATCTCTCTTGCATCACTAATCACATGCTGCTTTTGTACAACCAGACTACAGGGCTCTGGTCATACTCTGGATGGATGTCCCACCTGTGAGAGGATGTCTTTGCTCAGCGTCTGAGATTTGAACCATGACTGACCATTTTTCTCAGCCCTGAGGTCCTCATCATGTTTCCTTTGGGCAAATCTCATCCCTAAGCTGAGCTTGCCTAGTCCCCCTGTAACCAATGCAAAGAATGGACACTGCTGACTGTGATTCATCTTATCCCAGAACAGTTACTTGAAACAGGTCAAACAAATTTCTGCCTCTACCTTCCTTCTGGGGAGCATAAATTTCTCTCCATTGACTATAAAAGGAAATATGAGTTACCTCCTGGTGACCCTCCCTTTATTAGCTCCCTGCAGACACAGCTTCATTTCAAGACCATATGTAAGAAGATCTGTATAAACTGGTTCTCAGCATAGGGCTTGTTGTCCACTGGTTACAACATGAAAGATTTATATTTCAAAAGCCATATAATAAAATGAATTTTGCGGACTGCCAAAGCTATTCATCAAATACCAGCAGTTTTCAGATCCTGAGAGCTTCTTTAAGAAACATTGGGGAGATTAACTCCACAACACCTTCAACTGCAGTCTCCAGCCATGGACATCAGATAAGCAATATGGCTTCTCGTTACAGGCAGCAGGATTAATAGGTTGGAATACAAACCCAGGGTGTTCCTGCCAGCAAGCATCCCCTCTGATAAAGCAGAGAATGACAAATCAACATACCAGTTGCTAGAGAGCCGGAAGCAAACATTGCTCCTTAGACTTCTGGCTGAATTAGAAAATGAAAAATGTATTTAGCCACTTTCAGGTCCTGAAAAAAAATATCATTTTACAAGTCAGTCTCCTAAGTGCTTTCAAAATTTATCATCAGAAACAATTGACAAATATGGGAAAATACTCAGTTGACCTATAATCTTGCAAAATTGAACTGAATTGATTTTACAGGTGTTATTTTAACTCTTTTTGAAAAATGTACAATAGGGTCTTGTTTTAGACCTTTTGGTTTTGTTTCTCTCAAGAATATTTGTTTCTAACTAAAATTATTAAATATATATGAGCATTTCGGGTTTTCATATTTTATAAAAATATTTCAGCCTTTAAAACGTTGCAATCAGTTTTCACAGAAGAATAATAAAAATAATTATAATTCAGGGCCTACTTCCAGTCACAAACACTGACTGTTGTGAGATGATACCAGAAATATTGATAGGTCACTATTACTATTTTCTATTAAAAAAAGGGCTACAAATAAAAAAAGTTGTTTTAAACTCCTGTGTGTTTATAGGCTGCTATGTATTAAGACTTCCTGCTGCTGCCACTAGATAGCAGTGTATGTCTTCTGAGTTTAGAATACATAGTTATTAACCAGCTAACTTCTAGATCTTGCTTCTTATCTATTAGTATTTATTTAAATTCCTCCTGAAGAGTGATACAGGATTTGTGGAAAGAGCTATAGAATATCATATGCTAAATATATAAAGTAATATTAGCTACTACTTGCTAATTTTTGTTGAAAATTATGAGCTGCAAAATACAAAGCATAAAAAGGTGTAGACCTTGTGATGTTCCATTTATGCAGACTCACAGAAAATCGACTGGTTAAAATGGAGTTCCTCTGATTTATAATAGTATAGTGGGAGGAAAATATGTCCCACAGTCTATGAATTCCTGAGCATCCTAAGAAAGTAGAAGGGAAGAAAATGTACCTATCACAGTTTGAAGGAGAGCAAGGTTGTCTATACTCGCCTGCTGTATTTATTGCTATATTCCTTCGAAAAGGTACTGCTTCAGTCAGCACTGCGGTAGCCAGAGGATGTAAGATCATTGTGCTTAAAAATGAGTCACTGTCAGTCCATTACAACATGTTGAATAACCCGATTTAATTGAATTCAGCAGTCCACTCTACAGTTCTTAAGGAGTATTTTGAAGTAAACCTTTCCCTGTTTAAGGCATATGGGAGTTAAAAATGCAGTCAGCTAAGAGGTGATGCAGGTCTGCTTTCCCACTGCCCATGTCTGCTGAAATACAACTGAAGATCTTGCTAATGCAAAATTAAGAGGCTCTGTCTTCCAGGGCTTTACTCAAACAAGTTATCACTCTGATGTGAAGTGGGCTGTGATTCAAAGATTGCACATTTCTGATGAACACCATTAAAAAAAACCTGCAGAAAAAATTAATACCAACATCATTTCAAGGAGACATTGCTGAACAGATGGGCAATCTTCTGGCAGGAGGACTTTAGAAACTAGCATCAGTGACTTGGCTGCAGGGAGTGAGAGAAAGGAGGATAAAGGAGAAGAAACTAAGATAAACAGATGCTCAAACTTCAGCAGAATCCTAGCCAACTCAAAGCAGCACATAAAACTGCCTTCTCTACTACTTTAGAGAAAAACCATGGAGTTTATTATTAGCTGCCTCCCTTTGTTGGTGTACTTAGGAGTTCAAAGACATGAATAAATTTAGATATTTGAATATGAGGGTAAATATAAATATTTGGGGATTTTTCACTTTGTGTTCATTGAGGGTTTTTTTGGTTTTGGTGTGCCAAGGTGATGTTCTTTATGGAGTCATAAGCCTGAAGCCAAGGCATGACTGACTCTCAAGATTGACTGGATCTGGTGTAAATATATTGTTTTAAACACAGAAAAATAAAAATAATATACAATTAAAAACTTTTCAACATTAGAGAGAGACTGAGCAAAAGAATCAGTGTTGCCACTGGTCTGGTCTTGTCCTTCCCAGAATAAACGGCATCTTGCAAGGGCAGAGCTATGGCCTTTCCTTCTGTTGCTTTGAGTTTTCTGAGGATTCTTCTGGCTGAAGCCATTTATTCCTTTCCAGGGATTTTCTACAACTCTTCTTTGCTTTTGACCGTAGAAAAGTTACATTCCCCACGCACAGCCTCTCCACCCTCAGTTGTCCATGGGATCAGCTGGAGGAGGTACCTGAGTGAGAACCTGCAGCCACCACTATGGATGGAAACCTTCCCCCTTGAGGGGGGAAACGCAGGGTAACCACAAGTAGCAGTTGAAATCCGTATTTCTGAAAGTGGTGTTGGGGATTCCTCTAAGGCACAGTGCAATACAAATGGGAGTATATGCTTTGTGTCCAGGCCCCCTTAATTTCTCATCACTTCAAAATAAGAGGAGTCCACTGCAGTCAAATTTTCTTTTTTGTCTGATGATGACCTAGTGCTGTTGGAATGAGGCTGATATAAGTCAAATGAGAAGCAGGAGCACAGCTTCCACTGCTGACTGCAGTGCTTCTATCCACATCTTAATCATAAGCTCTCTGAAATGTTTCTCTTAATTTCCCTTGTGGCCAGCTCTTTTGAAGTTTTAATATGTGACCTGTTGCCATCTACTTGAATAGCTCCTTTTTTTTTTTTCTATTTTGTCTTTTTCTATGCTCCTTGGAACATTATATTTCTTAGCTCTGGCCCTTTCAATCTCTTGATATATTAATGAAAAGTATTCTCATAAACCTGTTCTTTCATCCTACCTATGCATACCTACGTTATGCGATGAACCTATATAGTTTATCTAGGTCAGATAATCTACTTAAATAAATGAACAGATAAATGTAAACTTCAGCTGGGTCATTTATTTCATCTCAGAATGCTATGTACTATACTGTATTATAGCTACAGCTGA